TCCTTTAACAAGGTATTTTGTTTGCTTTTCTTTGCTGCGATGTGTACTATACTGTTTTTGTTTTTAAAATTAGCCCTATGTGCAATTTGCTGCAACTGTAAAAATGGTGACAGAATTCAAGTTTTTGTTTAGTGTGGTACTTTCATTTTGTTATTGAAAATATGAGAAGTCATCGCTTAGTCTCTCCCTCTTTTGAAAGGGTAAAAAATGTTAATGATAAGAAAATAATTTCATTTTCTATTTCAAGATAAGTTTTATAAAAATTTTACCTACTAGATTTATGATATTTTATTTTCAGTTAAAGAAATAAACATGGTCTTAGATGTGTGTGTATATATATATATACACACACACACACACACACACACACACATACACACATAGTTGTTGGGAAAGTCATGACACATTTTTGCATAAAAAACATAGAAAAATATGTCATGACTTTCCTGATGACCAAATATATATATATAGATAGATATATAGATATAGATATAGATATATATGATTCGGAAATGACTTTTTTTTTTTGGAGAGGTTTTTGCTATAGGGCGTGTGCGCTCACCAGACAGAGAGAGACAGAAAGTGAGAAATCACCCCCCAGGGGGGAGGGCCACTCTGCAATCTCTTCTCTTCTGTTCTCCTCTCGGGATCTTGGGCATGCATGCACATGCGCCCCGCGTGAGTTTTAAGTCACCGGGCCTGGACGTGAACCACGGTCAACTACATGGGAGTCCAGCGACATAGCTATTATGCTAACTGCTAGTCCCTGGAAATGACTTTTGTCAGGTATTTATTTTGAACTGCTAAGTCACTATAACTCACCTAAAAGAACTAAGATAATTTGTGCACACCAATACTTTCAAATTAACTCTTTAGAAAGAGATGGAGGTAGACTTTGTGAACTATAAAATATAGGATTATTACACCTTATTGGAAATCTCTATTTATTTGTATAGATGTTCCAAATAAAAACCATATTAAGTTAAATGAAATCTAATTAACTAATAAAACTGGAATATCAGTCTGAAGATGTTGGTCATCTGTATTCTAGGCAAACTAGGTTCTTAAATATTAATGTTAAGTTCTTAAATATTAATGTAAAGTCCATTAAGCTTTTAAATGAAATAATCACAATCAAATAACTTTATCTGATAGTAGGTAGGCCTAGTTACTTAAAAAGATTCAAAAACTTCATAAGCATGAAAACTTTTAGAATGTTCTAAGAATTAGTAAGATGTTATAGTATGCATATTTTCTGTATGTAAGGTCATTTAATTAATTAATTTAAGTAACTTTAGGCTTTACTGAGCATTCATTAAATGTAATTGTATATGGCTAGTAAGCCAAAGATGAGTGTAATTTTTTTTAATTTTAGCTTGGCTTTAAATTTTGAAATTAATGAGTCCTGACTTGCATAATTTATATTTGGTAGCTATCTTATTGTAATGTTCATATGCCAATCATATCAAACAAGGAGCAGAAAATGAGCTTTGTTTTTAGTTTAATGTAAACCATGAGCAGCCTCTACAAATGCATTAATTTAGTTTGTTGTTAATCATCATTATTATCTTTCCTTTTTGCATTTAGAACCCATTTACTAGTCTCATGTTTTACAACTTAAAATTTGCATGTATACTAAAAATTCAATATTCAGTGCATAATTCTTTTTTTTTTTTTTTGGAGAGGTTTTCGCTATAGGGC